CCTTCCCTGCGGATTTTGTATAAAGGACTAAAGATAGATTATTAGAGTGTCGAGGTGCTCCTTTCCCCCTGAGCTGAGTGTTGTCGTGGTTTACTCTTTTTGTGTACCTACAAAAAAATTTGGAATTGTCTAAGGTTAGATTGCGATTGGGTTAGGTTTTGATTTTCATTTTTCAGAGATGTACCTATATGCAATGTTCATCAAGCTCAATGATAGATTAGACGTTTTAAAGAAACTAAGCATGTTAGATATTTGAAAATTTGGTAGTATGAAGTATTTGAGTATTCATTATAAGCTTCGTCTTCGAACATTTTTGTAACATAAAAAAAGAAGAGGTTTTGATTGATGAGATTTTAATAATTGCGGTAGCTGTCAGTTGTCCATGACACTTTTATTATGCCAAAATTACTGAAATTAGGTATCTATATAAATAAAAATGAATCGTTAATATGTTGCTAAGCGAAAAACTCGACAACGACTGGACCAATTTCGATAATGTTTTTTTTTTTAATATTCCATGTCCGAGGAAGGTTCTTATGAAGAGAAGAATTGCCCAGAAAAACGTAAAAACCTCACTTTTCTTTTCCCATACAAATCACAGAGTAAATTAAAACATCTGTCCATTTGACGTCATTCAAAACAAAACAAAGGCGTTAGAATTACATTTGATATGTCTTCAAGTTGATTTTGGTTTTTAAATTTTCGTATCTTCTTTATTTATTTTTTCTATTGGACTGCGATAGGTCAATAACTTTTGACAAAACGAAGTCTGTCGGGGCATCTAGTTTTAGACAATATACAAAATTATTCAAAAATTTTCAAATAAAACTATAGAAAACATCCACTTAAATCGAGAGAGGATAAAAACATGACCCAAATAACAAAATAAAATATGGTAGGTGTCATTTGAAAAAACGAAGTTATTCGTTTCTGAAGTTTTTAAACTATGAATTGGTTGAACGCTCAGTATAAATTATGAAACTTAATTGTAGTATAATATTAGCAATAAGACACGACTATAACTGGTAAAAATTTCAACGCTAAGCCATTTTTTTGTAGAAGATATGATTTTTTATAATTTAAGTTGCAGTATCGATTTTTTTTGTATAAATTAAATTATCTCAAAAATTATTCATTGTTACATGTATATAGGCAACCCAATATACATAGTGACAGAGAAGACCAGTTTTTCTAGAAGTCATAATCTGCAGCATTCTACAACATGGCCAGTCCCTATAAATAGTTGCCGCAAGGTCGGAAGTGTTACTTAGTATGAAATCTAGTTACGAGGCGATACAAAGCGAAGTAGAAAGAGCGAAGAGGTGACAAACTGTATGATTTAGTGTTGGAATAGTGATGAATTAATAATAGTAGTGTTAGTTATAAAGAACTAATTGCAAAATAAATTTAGTAATAGTGAGGAAGAAGTGTGATAGAATAAGACTGATGAGGATTTGAGGAAAAAGAAAATTTTTGAGGAATTCTATCGAATATTTTAGAACGTTTCATCGGTCAATATTCTGAAAGTTTCAACCGATCGAGAATAACCCCAGCGAACGATATATCGTTAGAAAGCTCCTGAAGAGAAAAGAAAGAATCTGGCGTCATTGGAGAATTTCATCGAACTTTCATTACCATTTAATACCATTATTCTACCTGATGTATCGGAATAGTAGATTCAAACTTTGGACAAAAGACTGATCTTGACTACAGCTACCGGAGAGATTTTACTAATCTATTGAAAATGCAACGTATAAATTAGAATTATAAATGCGAAGGACCTCGAGCGCGCGAACAGAAGTAAAACGCGCTAGCTAGCGTAATAGGGAATTTCCAATATATCCAGGCTTGCTTAATACGTCTGGCCAGAAACATGCTAGATATGTCGTCAAAGTCGTTCTCTAATTACAATTAAATACTATTTTTTATACTAAACCCATTTGCTATATATCTAACTTGATTTAAAAGTTCATTATCTTTTTCAGCGTTTAAAATAAAAATGTCTGTACAGTGTCGTATATTCTAGATGGTCATAGTTGTTTGAAGAGTACATTTTTATATTATCTATTTCATTTTTGTATGCGAAATCTAACTTTATGACATTTAACTGTTTGTTGTTTTGATAGTCTAAGAAAACGACTGGACCATTGGGAACTGTAATTTCCTTAATTATTCTTACGTTGTCAATTTCCAGTAGATCGTTCTTATTATTTTGGCAGTTGTCAAAATCAATGTCTAACATTACTACAAATTGTACCCTTATTTGCAATCTGAGAAGCCAAGTTGCGAGATACTTTGAATTTTACATTAAACCACGTTACCTTCATTGTATTCTATAACCGCATTGAATAAATCGTCATTTTCGATTATATCTATGTTTTCTTATAAATTTTTCAGTGGAATCATTAATTGCTGAATCTTTTTTGCAAGTCTTTACTATTATCGGAAAGTTCATAATCTTTTTTATTTAAAATTTTTATCAGTATTTTAGACGAAGCATTCGCATTGCGATTTAATGAACCCTTTTTATAAACAATCTCGTAGTAAGACGACTATCCTATATAGAAAAAATGCTCTGTAAGCGGTCTATGGTCGGTTACTATTTTAAATTTTCTACCAAAAAAGTGCGATCGAAAATTCTTACAAGACTAAACTTTCGTCCACAATTCTCACTCAATAGTTGAATAACGCGTTTCCGCACCGTTTAATATTCTATTTTAGACGTTAAGGAGTTTAGGGGAGGAGGGAGTGCCAACAGAAGTTTCTATCTAGCTCCAGCAACTAAAGAGGAAATTGAAAGAATCATCCAACAACTACCCAACAAGAACTCCAGCGGCATAGATGGAATCTCTCCCAAAACGATGAAAGCCATATTACCAGCAATTAAAACAGAAATAACAGAACTAATAAACCTATCAATAACAGAAAAAACATTCCCGGAAAATGCTAAAGTCGGGAAAACCACTCCACTATACAAAGGAGGGAAAAAAGAATTATTAACAAACTATAGGCCAATTACAAACACCTCCACAATAGCAAAAATAATAGAAAAATACATACAAAAACAACTAAATAAATTCCTAGAACAAGAAAAATTCTTCTACAAAAAACAGCACGGATTTAGATCCAACACGAGTACAAAGATAGCAGCAACAGAAGTCATAAACGAAGTACAAGAACATCTAGATAAAGGAGGAAAAGCAGCCATAGCATTTCTTGACCTCCAAAAAGCATTCGACCTGGTTAACCATAACGAATTACTAAAATCGTTAGAAGCTGCAGGCATAAGAGGGCACACTCTGGAATGATTAACCTCATACCTAAAAAATAGAAAACAGCAAACAGTTGTTAATGGAATAGCAAGCGAACAGAACACAATTAAAATAGGCGTCCCCCAAGGAACAATATTTTCACCTTCCCTATTTATAATATTCATCAACAATATAGGAAAACTGAAACTCAAGGGAGAAATAACATTATTCGCAGACGATGCGACATTACTATACAAAGGGAAAAACAAAACAGAACTAGAACAGATGATAAACGAAGATATGGAAATCATATACGAGTACCTAGAAGGAAAACAACTTAGACTAAACACCCAAAAAACACAATATATGATGTTTAAAAAAGGGCAAGAAGAAATAGCAATTAATTACAACAATGAAGAAATTAAGAAAACAGAAAAGAACAAATTTCTAGGACTCACAGTAACACCAAAACTAGACTGGAAGGACCTTATACAGAACATTAAAAAGAAACTAATTCCAATTATAAAAATAATGCGCAATAGATCGATATACCTCCAAAAAGATACAAAAGGAAACATATACTTCGCCTTAATTCATTCGCACCTAACTTACCTAGCACCTATATGGGGGCAAGCAGGCAAAACAATTTTACACCAACTTCAAACGATACAAAATCAGGCAATAAAAGCTATACACAATCTACCACATAGATACCCAACAGAACTAATGTATGCCCAGCAACAAATACCAAAAATAAACCAAATAATAGACACGGAAACAATATGGCTAATACACCAAATCATAACTAAAACATGCAAGAGCAATATACAACTACAATTCAATAAGGACAAGCACACCCATCACACGAGACAACAAAACCACCTAGCAAAGAGACAATATAATACCCACAAGACGGGAGTCAACACATTTTTAAATAGATGTATAAACCTGTACAATGAACTTCCAAAAAAAATCCCAAAAAAACTAACGAAGAAAAAGATCAAAAACTGGATAATAAACAAACAAGAATAAAGTCGAACAAAAATTTAGCCAAAACCAAAAGATAAAGTGCAATAAAAGTTCAAAGAAACTATATCCAATCTTAAGTTAGAAATATATAGATTAAGCTACTAGTATTAATTAGGTTAAGTTAAGATTAAGGTAGGTTAACATGCCAAATGTAGCTCTAGATTGAGAAGCGTATCCGGGTAACTGTAAACGCTTCTCGGTGAGCAAATTACAATATACAATAAACAATAAAGGCTATGACTCCCAGACATTAAGGTAGGTAGTTACATGAAACTTATAACCAGCAGGAAGCAATTACGGTCAGGTCTTGAAGATACAGCGAAATGTCCAGAAGGCGTGGAATATTTATGTAGCTGAGAACACTAATTTCACCCGCCAACACTTTTAACTGGCACATAACTAGCACTTGGTTGTGTCTTCTTCAGTGAACTGATGTTTCTTGGGGATTACTTTTAGCACTATCGTTTTACATCTCGGTATTCCAAAAGAGATAAACAAGAATTTGTTTGACAGAACTAATCCTCCACAAGTTTGCAAAGCTTGTGTTGATAAGAGTGATAGTTACGAGTCAGTTTATTACATTGTTGGACAACTTATCTGTAATAAACTAGATTCGGAGTGTCTAACCGTTTGATAATTGTCAAATCAATTAATTTTTGTTAGTAACTTCTGATTTGCAAAATAAAAGAAATAACTTTAGAGCGAAAATATTTATTAGACATGTTGTAAATATGGTATACAATTAATGAAATAGAAATAATCATATATATATATAATACATACGATATAAGTGGTATACACATACACATATGTATTTTTTAAATAATAACTTTAATTTGATGATATTAATAATAATAAAAAATTAAAAGGTAAATTAACATTTCAAAAGTGAAAGCAATCGGTTTGTACCAAAGAAGTCGCAATCTATTTAGAAGTAAAAAGGTCTTTACTGAGACCACTCGGTTATCATTGGTAAATCCTAATTTGTACCAAACTCAAGGGGGAAAACTCTTAATGAAAATGCTTGATGGCATTGTTCTTCTACGGTCCCAAACCACATGAGTTTTTCGATAACTTCGGTATTAATTTTTATTATGAGTATAGCTTCTACATACTTCTAATAAGTTACATTTTCTAAAATTGCTTTTAAGCGATTTTCTTTCTAACAAAGGTTACTATCAATTCTGTTGTTTTAGATAAAATGCCTTAAATCTTCGTATATCGTAGTCATTTTATAAACAAATGAGAGGCGCAGCATATAAACAATAGAAAATTGTAATGATATTATTTTACAGTAGAAAACAATAGTTAAGTAATTGTAGCTAATAACTTTTATTACTACAAACTAAATAGTATTGTCATTTGGTAGTTTTACCTGCAAAGTTTACCGGGAGTTTTGAAAATGGACAATTTTATAAATTTCGATGTGCTCTTTCCGAATTTCAATTTTGCCACCTCGTATTTTTGCCGCTCGCGCCGTCAAATTTGAAAAATGGCACCTAAAAGCATTTTTGTGACAATATCTCCTTTTCGATCATTTGACGATAAAGACATTTATATACACAATAAAACTAGAGAAAATTCAGTTCAACACTTTCTCAAAATATATATTTAGTCTCCTCTTTTTTATGATACCATATTTAATATCAATATTAGAAATTGTACATACTATTAAACAAAAGTATAATATTGTTATTGCAGTGACAAGAAAATCAATAAACACAACGAGCAAAATATTTCCAAAAAAGTATTGAGTGAAAGTGCAGATGAAAATATCCAAGAAACCGAAAATATTAATGGACAAATTCATGACGTAAGTTGTGGTTTCTTTATTAATTAGTTTTACATCTACTTTATTTTACAGGCGTATGGAAGTAGTATTGAGAACAAAAATGTGTGTGAACAAGATAATTTTGAAGTAAATGGTAACGAGTGTTTAACAGACTGTATAACCTACAGTACTGGATATATAGCTGAAGATTTTAATTTAGCATGGGAAAATTATTGGTACAAACATGGAGAAAGTCTAGTTTGGAGCTCATGGATTAAGAAATATAAAGATTTTATTAATCCTGAATACATTAATGCGCACAAAAATTACGAAGATTTAGAAGCCATAAAGTCACCTTCAAAGACAAACGGTACTGAGGCTAGAGAACATCACTTTCAAAATTCAGAAAGCGTTATTAATACATCATCAGATATAAAATTCGAAAAAGAATTGAGTTTTGACGATCACTGGACTCATTTGTGGGATAGTCATTGTGAAGAAGAATATTTTTACCAATATAATCAGTTTCTTTTAAAAAGATTCAGCTTTTCTAACTCAAAAGACGAAAGTAAGTACTTTTATTTATTGCTATCGCACGTTTTGTACAAAGCTCTCAGGGTTTTAAAAAGTCCTTCATTTCGTTTTGTTTGTTTTTCTTTAGTTTAAAATATTTAATGACTTGTGATGTTTTTACGAATCAAACGATTTTTCATTTATTAAAATAAGTGTATTCGTTAAGTCCACCTGTTCTTTCTTTATAAATCTCCTTATAAACAATATGTAGATTGAATTTTGAAATATACTTAAACACGTATATGTTTACTTTTTGTAAAAAGTTAAGTGGTGACGAAAGGTTTTTTACCAAGTTAAGAGCTTTCAGAGAAGTAGTAAAAGTGTAACCTCTTTAGGGGTTGAATTCTCAAAAATATTTTCTTAATGGATGTTTAGCTGCAAAAAGAATCTGGTATTCAAATTTCACATTTCTGACTTCAGCTGTTTTAGCTTTGCGATGGTTAATCAGTCACCAATCAAGATAAATTACATTATTCACATATTAAGAAAGTAACAGGAACGTTTATTATGTTTTATTTCTTATCTTATGTTTAATTTCCGTTCATGTATAAATTCATAACTTATACACTCATTTTCAGCTAATTATTGTGAAG